GAGGTATAAGCAATTTCAGTGCCCCTGGATCGGGCAGAGTGGGGATGCCAAGTGCTGGAGAGCAGGAGTGCAGAGTGCTATGGGCCGAAAACAATATGCTGTAACAGTACAGTATGCCATATGACTATTAATATGCTCCTGAATGGCTTTCAGGTGAAACCCACAGTTTGCAACTATTACATCAACATGATAAGTGTACAGCACAACATAATTCCCCCAAGTGAGGAACTCACATTTGCCAGGCTGTTCCACAAGTCATCAGTCTTTGCGTTCCTATAACTGTACTTCTTCAAATACTGAATTACCCCTTTCTGAAAAACCTGCTCAGATAGGAAATCCTGGAGCATCTTCAAAATACAAGCTCCCTAAAATAGAAAAGTATCAGGTATTCAAAAATATCAATTTTACATTGCATGCCAAACCTTATGCATTTAGCCAGTGATTGTTAAATTAGGACGTATTGCAAATATGGAATAAATAATTAAATTACTTTAGCTATACGTACTGGATGTCTTCATTAGCTAAGTGAAAATAGGCATTCAAGACAATGACACCCAGAGAGTCTTTGGCTGGTCCCCTAATGCTTTCTGAGATGATAGAAAGCTTAGGGACCTATTCAACTCCGGAGATAAGATGACTGGTATTCTTTGGCACATTGTTGAGGTTTTAAATATTATTACTTTATAACTTTTGCCAGTGTCTGACTTCAGAGCTGTCTTATAGCATTTAGCATTCTTCCCACAGTAGTAGCCAACTTCCATAATTTTGTAGCTTACTGTGGCTTCTACTGACAGAAAACTGCAAACAGCTAAGGACATGAAGAACATAAATGCTAATACCAAATAGATTTATGTAATTTGCCAAAATATTCAGTGACTCCAAATTTTAGACAAAAGAATTGCTACACATAAAAATAATGAGCACTAAAATTCTTCCTTCTGCATCACTACTGAGTCACACTGACTGTGGTTAATGATACAGCTGACTGCCCTATATTAACTAATATTAAGATGTTCTACTTGTGTGATGCTTTTAATCTGAGGAACTCAAAACACTTTACAAACACGAATTAATTATCATCACTTTAACGTGTATATACTTATGGAGAATTAACTAATTTAAGTAAGTATAATAAGGGGCCAACATTCAGGAAAGACATCTGAAACGCATTCATAGACTCAGAAGCAATTTACACCACTTCCTGTTTTGGTTAATGTAGACACCTTACTGTGATGCCATAGACAGGCTAATCAGCATTTAGGAGAATCCACGAATCACATTGTGCAAGCTAATTAGGTCTGCCACTCAGCAGTGCTAAGAGACAAAGGTAGATGAGTTGACCTAGGTACAGCACAACATGAGTACCTGGTCTGAGAGGTAGCCAGAAGGACAGAAGCAGCAGAGTCACTTTCCAGCAGTCCCAGGCAGCATCATGCTGCATTCTCTCAGGAGACAAAGCAGGGCACTGCCTGACACTGATCCCAGACCAGTTCTTCAAACTTTTATTTCAGGGAGTCATCAGGACAGTGAGACAGACCCAGCTTTTAGGACTGTCCCAGAAAGTCTGGGACAGTTGGTCACTTTAGGTATTAAAGCTGATGATTAATAGACTTAAATCAGTGGTTCTTCACATACACATTAGTATTCTGGCAACTTGTAATGGAAGTCAGATAGTTATCTGACATAGCGAGAGGTAAAAAAATTTGGTGTCTGGAGTGAATGTCTATTATACTACCCATTGAGCAAGCCCATAAATTAATTTATTTTGTTGTTTTAGTCCATAACAGTTGACAAAGCCTTAATTCAAATATCTTACGTTAAAAAATAGAGAAATACATCATAAGCAAAATACTATGGAATGAATATTAGTTGCCATAGTATGTATCAGAAGCTGCAGCAACCAGGCAGCTCTCTGGGAGTGATCATGACACTCCTGGTGCAACTGTGCAGCCAGCCCCAGTCAGGTGGGGAGGTGTGGGGGAAGGAGAGGGGAAAGCATGGCTGCTCAGGGAGGTGTCCCTGTCCCCAGCTTAGTCCCCAGCATTGTGGGCAACATCATGCCCCAGCCCCATCACGGGGGGGCAGGAAATGTGCTCCCACAGCCACCTGCACTGCCCAGCCCAGCTCCTCCTAAGCAGTGGCTGAAGGTCAAGGGGTAGGGACCAAACAGGGCAGGGGTGTGTGTGTGTGTGGTGCCACCCTGACCATGGCACCCTGGGTAGTCACCCATATCGCCCACTCCTAAGGCCAGCTCTGACAGTAGGGCTCATGAAATGGAGTGCAGGGAAAGTATACGCACAGTCATGCACATGCACACACACATCCATATATTCAGAATCATAGTATCACAGTGTTGGAAGCAGAGGTGTAATTACATGGTTGGGCACCAGGGGCAGCTGTCATGTGCAGGACAGCTTTTGGAGGCCACCATGCCATGTGATCACTAATGCATGGCCACAGCAGCAGCTATTTTTTCTGCTGGCCTGGTTGCTGCATCGTAGTTATGCCACTACTTGGAAGGGACCTCAAGGGTCATCTAATCCAATCTCTTGCACAGAACAGGATTCACTATTCCTAAACCTCTCCAGCTCTTCTTGAAAACCTTCAGTCAAGGAAATTTCCACAGTTTCCTTTGCCAACTTGTATAGAAGCTAAAATTTTGTCCTGTGTTATCACTAATAATGGGAAGTCCTGGAGGGCTTGGGCCAGCAGCCCTGGAATGGAATCATAATCTGTAAATCATGCACAGGAGATTGGACAAAAATCAGAGAGCTAATGTCTTGTCTGCCATCCTGCTGCAAGACTCACTCCCCTCAAACAGACATCCCTCAAGTTGCCTAGAACTCCAAACACCGTGAGGACATAGGATCTTTGGCATTGTTGACTTTACATTAACTGACATGCAGTACCTTATCATAGGACACGGTATCAAACATTTCATTTATCTGAATGGGGGTTTCTGCTGGGTTGGAGATTGGACGAGAAGAATTTAATGAATCCCTTGCAATTGCACCAAAATATACATTCATAAAGAAGTCCTCCTGTGGGATGTAAAGACAATCATCACCTCTTAGAAATATATACCTAGTCAAATGCCAAAAATAAATCAATAACATCTTCCAACACTTAATGAAGAAGTGCAACCTCTATACTGAATACCTTAGATCTATATTCCATTTACTCTGCACAATATATGCATTGTTACTGAAAATCCTAACTATCTGCAATCTTTGCAAAAAATTCTTGTAAACAATCTATAAAAGCTAGTACTTTAATGTCTAATAAAAATAGACCTCATGCAAATTTCCCCAACAAGTTAATGATGAGAAAGTTCAAAATTCACAACCAGAACAGAATTTGGCCCCTCTCTTTATACAGGAGTGAACAAAGAGGTATCTAGAAGAGATACAGAGAATTGGAGAATTTTTCAGATTGCATCACTGTTTACAGGAGCATTTACATGTACTAAATCATATTAAGTATTTAGTTCATAACAGTTTCTCTATGATACACAGTACTCAGCATACCACTCCAAAATACTCTGCTTTAGCTAGAACAGCACTGGGTTCATCTACATGTGTGCTTTACTATAGAGCAGACTCATTAGTTCTGCAGTAAAGCATCACCATCTACATGTGCCATTATCAGGGCATAGTAAATTAACACCACCATAAGATAGGACTATTAGGGACAGGACTATTAGGGATAGTCCAATCTTATAGCGCAGTCATTTACTGCGCAGAAATGCACGTGTGGACAGTGACTGGGACTGCAGCATTTTGAGCCAGGGTGGAACAGCCCCAGGCTGGCAGCAAGTTCAGGGGGCCAGCCACATAGCTCTGCAGTTTTGGCACTCTTGTCCCCCAGCCCTGACGCCACCACCTGGAGCCTGGAGATGAACCCCTGATCCTGCTGTCAGCCCGGGGCTGCTCCACCCCAGCTCAAATTGCTGCAGTATACGCACAATATACAAGGGTATACAATATACAAGAGACTGTACTTTGAGCTATTATACAATTGCCTCTATATATATTCTATGCAAACGCACATAAATCAGGACAAAGATTTTTTTTAAATAAAATTAAAATAACTTGTAGAGGATGTTTGACTTTTGGGGGTATATGATTGGGTTTTTTCTGGTTTCAAGATGGCAACCCCCCTCTCCCAAAAGGAGTACTTCTGGGGCAAGGGGAGAGACTCCAGTGGCAAAAGTCAGGGACTAGGGGCAGGTCTTCCTGTCCCAAGATGGCGACCAGGGGGTGGGGCACCTATCAAGGGGTTGGGCTACCCTTGTAGCCTTCAACAGCCCACCGACACTTGTTAAGTGGCCCTCCAGCTGAAATAATTGCCCACCCCTGGATTACATCAAGTGAAGAGATGGAGAAGGAATGAAACAGAATTTAAAGGAAAATGAGATGATATTGAGTGCAAAATGTACTCCCAGATTAGAAACTAGTTCTATAAATAAAGTACTTTTCTAAATTTTCTTTGCTCTCTTTGCTAATCCACTTTCAGACATCAAAGTTTGTTTTGCTGAATCTGTTCTGGTAGTCATAACCATACTGTTTTTAGAGGGAAAAGTATAATCATGGTAACAGTATTACTTACATACTGCAGCTCTGGGTAGGTCGCATTAAGAGAAACCAACTCCATGAACCGGGCAAAACCTTCATTTAGCCAAATGTCATTCCACCATTCCATGGTAACCAAGTTACCAAACCACTGAAGGACAAAATCACAAGCAAATAAAACTTAAAATGAAACATGGTAGATACAGTAGTTAACTAAGAAACTTTGAACTGAAGTTCGGGCATATCCATGTGCTTTGTTAAGATCTTATTCATGCACCAAAAAAAAAAAAAAAATCAAACAAACACAAACAAACAAGCAAAAGACAAAAAACACAGATATCTAGACAAAAATCTAAAAAAAGCTAATTAAAAAAATCAATTTGCGGTTGAAAAAATGTATTCTGTGTACTTTAAATCAAAAGATGCAAATATTGACTTGACATGGAAGATTACGTAACTTCTTCCTCGAAGAAGCATTTCCCAACTAATACTGTGACTTCTTCTAGGAGTACAGAGAGGAATTTTAAACACCCACTGTTCATTTCCTGAATCGG